CCTGCAGACGTAAATCAACTTACGACGAACCGTACGTAAACATACGTTTCTTAGGCCTTGGCTGCCATAAGTATTCTCTCTGATACTTATTCACATATAGATAATACGAAATATACAATTTCAAGTACGAGTCCTAAACGAGTGACGTGTCGACTAAATTTATGGACATATCTCCCTCGGCTTTTGCGTTTCGCTAGGCATCCGCCTCCAAGTGGAACATAGAAGCAAATAATGTCACAAGTGATAAATAAAGTAACATAATCATCTTAAAGTAACATAATCCTTATAATCATACTTATAATATCAAATGACTTTATAATGATAGTACAATATTATAATGATAATATATTATTCATTTTGGCTTTTGTGTTCTACCTGGGCCGTCGCGGAAAGTCTTAGAATTACGTTTCTTACCATGATCGCGATGTCCTTTCGCGGTAATAACGCCGCGCGGCGAATGATAAGAGACGACCGAATTCATTAACTTTATAAGGTTGATAGGTACGGCATTAGACACGTAAACTAAAAGTCAACTGTATTTTCTACTTCACGCAGAAAAATGAAGCTGCTAGCGTTCGGGCTCATCCTGATCTGTTGCAATGCCCAGGCAATGAGAATAAACGGTAAGCAGATATCAATACTTTTTCTCCTGGTCCCTTGTATTTCTCCTATATATTTCTCTAGAGAGATACGCTAAGCTATATATTTCTAGAGCAGTAGACTGTTTTATATTTATTTCATACTTGTCTTTATATTACCTGTGAAGATACCTGCTTTCAGGCATTCAATTGTTCTTTCTCAAAAATTTTCTTTATTTTTGAAAAAAAAAATTTTACTAGCATATTTTTGAACAATCTATTTGTCGTATTATTAAACATATTATCTCGATTCAATTTATTCTTTAATATTATTATTAATTTTCACGACTATTTAATTTTATTATTTATTAATTTTACGGATTTTTCCATTAATCATATTTTTTTTATCCTTTATTTTTTCTCTTAACGATAAGGTTTCACCAGAAATACAAATCTTGCACTCATTTACGTAAGCCGATGATGCAACGGCTAATTTTATCTGCAAAAACATTTGCACGAAATTTACTTTTATTTGCAGGGAAATATGGAAATTCGTTGGTGGAAGGTTTTTTAGAGAAGCTCAAAGCCATAATGAAAACCGGAAACGACACGCTCGGAATTCCGATTCTCGATCCGTTCAATGCGGACGAGATGAAGATCGATGTACACGAGGACCAAATAAAGTGCGTGCCACATCAATTTTTTAATTACACCAGTATTCACGATATGAAACAAAACTGCAAAAAGCCGCGTAATGCGACGGCTTCGTAAGGCTGGTCCTATTTGCCATTACTTATATTTAAAACTGCCTTATGGATTTTAAGATATAAACCAATCACAGAGCATCTTGAAACATTGCAAGATAGTCTTGAAGTAAAAATGAATTGCCGGCCACAACCTTTCATACTTTTTTTCATTCGAATCGGATCATTCGCTCATTCTGTGTCACAAATTGTCAGCAAGTTTCTTACTTATCTTCTTTTCAGTAAAATTGCAAGCGTCGTTTAATCAATATTTTTGACACAAATATGTCTTTTCTAATAGCGACATCTCTAAACCGTGTCAATTAAAAACGAAAGGAACAAAATGCATATCTGTATCGTGGAATTAAAGAACTTATAAATTTTCTTTTATGCCGCATATTTGCAGCGTGGACGGGAGTTTGACGAAGGTCAACGCAAACGGTTTGTCCGAGTACGATATTATCAACGGTGACTTCGAGTTGGGAGGAAACCTAGTCTTGATTCTTCACCTTTCGTGGCCACTGGTAGTCGCGAGTACCAATTACGACATAAAAGGCAACGCCGCCGATTTTGAAATTTTCGGCAAAGGTGAAATGAAGTGAGTATATTCGCTCCTACCGCGACAATTGGAAATCGGTGTCAATATAATTTCAGCGAATTAAATCTTAAGACTTTTAAATCGCAGGTTCTTTTTTAAGATGCTTTCAACTTGTTTCATCACTACGTGCCTTCTTCCTAATAATTTCACGTCTTTCATTACAACTGAACTTTCCATTTTAATAATCAAATTAACTTCTTATCTTAATTATCTAAATTCAAATCATAAAATGTGTTAAAACTATAATACTGCGTGACTAATTTTCAGTCTGTCCGCGAAAGAATTCGCTTTCAACACAACAATTTATTTATCAATGGACGGAGGAATGCAAGGACATTTGAAAGTGCAGGATATGGCATTGAAGCTTTCTTTGAAGAAGTTAGATGTGAGTAAACGGATTATAAAAGTCGTCAAGACTTTCTTTCTTACCCACTCGGTCTTTATAATTATGTATTGCGTATGAAATTTCGATTTTGTATTACAGATTTTCAGAAAATTTCCGAGAGAAATAAGACATGTATTTGAAAAAATTCAGATTTATGTTTTCCGAAAATTTATCGAGAACTTACTTTAACCATATTACAAAATTGTTTTGCTATAGAAAGTAATAATTTGTATAAAATTTTCATAAATTTATTGTTTTTTTTTAAACAAGAATTTTATAAATATATTATTTATATGTAATACATAATTATAAAGTATTCCTTTTTCTTGGTATAAATTTTTTTGTTTCCTACTTTCAAAAAATTTCGAAAATATTTGGTAGAAATTTAAGCATACCTCTGTAAAAGAATGGCATCTGACAATGAAATCTAAATACTGCTTTAGTATTTGCTTCACAAAAAGAACATTTCCTTTTCAACAAAACAAAAACCTTCAATATTTGAAATCTTATATCCAACGATCAGTTAAAATAAATCATTATTCAAGAAATAATATTTTAATCTCAAACAATTTTCTCGATTTTTATTCAATCATTTTTAATTAATTTTTAACTAACCAAGAACATATTCTATTTTCTATTTCTAGCAGTTTATTCTGAATTGTCAATTCGATAAATATGCATTTTAAATTATATCTCACCGATATTATTGTCCTTTAGATATGTCGTAGGGGAGATTATTCTGCGTAATTTCTCGCAAAAATTAAGGGACAAAATTGATTTAGGAAGTATAGCCTTGTTTCACTGTGGAAAGTTGCAAACCTTGCTTCGCGTTGAAAAATGAAAAGGAAGAGGCAATAAAAAAGCAAATTAAATACTATTTTCAAAACAAATCTTATTTTGTAAAACTTTAAATTATTATACCTCCTAACTAATGCCGTCCGCCACTTAACTTTTGCGAGGGAATTATTAAGAGCAACCTCCCTTACAACAATATCTAAAGGACAATAAAATCGAAGAGGTATAATCTAAAATGCATATTTTTTGTTTCAATTTTTATTTTCGTAGTTCCCTTCTCCCTTTTCCAATTGCTGACTAATCCTTTCTATTATTTGTAGTTTAAAATTACGGGCCTCTTTGACGACGAGGATTTGTCTGCTCTACTCAGTTCCATGATTTCTGACATGGCACCTAAGTTAGCCGACGACGAGAAGATTATATACGAGATTATCGAAGTTGTCAAGCAGCTGATCGACGAGTTTTGTTCCACTATGACAGTCGAGGAAATACTGAAGCTGGTTCTTGGCTGATTCTTGCTATCGCTTGATCAGTCATTTGTACAGTTCGCGATCCTAGTCGATGAAACAATATGAATAGATAGGGAGACAGGCTATGAAAGATTAGCATAAAACAATCAGTGTTTAATACGAGAGAATAAATGCAATTAATAATTTAAAATTTGCGAGTATTTTATTAACAAATTAGTAAAAATACGTTCTCTGTCTTTCTTCTATGTATGCTTGTAATGTACATAGAAGAAATATATGAAATTATATTAAAAAGTCTCTATTTGTATCCCAGATAGGACACAAAAGTCATGATGATAACATCATGAAGTCATCTAATATAAGGACGTCATTCCGACTCCGTCATTAAGACTCTACTTTGTCATTTATTAGTCACAAGTAATGTTAAAATTGATGTCATTATGACATTATTTGCTTTTATTTTATACCTGGGATACAACTACAAAATTAAATATTAACCCTGATCTGTTCTAGCGTCTCCCATCTATTTTAAAACAACGGATATACGAATAATTCTAATTATCTATATATTCTAAAATCTATTTATCTATAATATTTGTGATATCTTGTATCTTTTTTATCTTAACGTATAACATACATGTATCTGCATTACGGTGATTGTGATACACCCTACATATTTTGTATATATTTTCCATGTATTTCATGCAATGTTGTTTTTTGTTACTGGTTGAAAACAATAATTTTGATTTGAAAATAAAAATAATTTGATTCTTATACCGATGTACAATGCGACGCAGTGGAGTTGTAACTTCATCGACCTGCAGAACACAAATGTGAAATTTACGAAAGCGCTCAGAAAAATAAACATTCAAACTATTCCGAAGAATAATCGAAGAATTCTATTTGACTTCAAAATTTTTAATAGAATGTTTGAGAGAGAGAGAGAAAGAGAGAGAGAGAGAGAGAGAGAGAGAGAGAGAAGAGAGAGAGAATGTCTTCTTTTTAAGTAGAATTTTTCAAATAAGTTTTTTTCTCTGTATTTTCTATATACAACAAAAAATAAAACCATCAATCATAAAAATAATTTAAATAGTACAAGTAAGAAATAGTACATGGATCAAAGTGAGCGGTAGATATAAAAAATAGATATATCTAAATATATAGAAAATACCGAGGAAAATACATAGGTACATATAGAAATATGACAGGTCCAAGGAGACGCTACTCGCGCTACCGAGATTCTTTGATGTTCTTTGCACCACATGTGGTGATGTGATGTTCTTGCAACTCATAATAATAAATTCTTATGGTTGCTCCACCGTCATCCGATGCTTCCCAGGCCGTCCCCTTTCTCACCGTATTCATTTCCGTAGCTGCTCTCGCGTGGCACTTTCTTTGCGTCACATAACATTCGCAAACACGATTAGGTAAATCGCGCTCGCGTGCGTCGATCATCAAAACGAATACGACACTTTGCCCGACATTTGTTAAGCCGGCGTACGTTACGTAAGCGTACGCGGCTACGCGATTTATCGAGGAAGATCAGCGCGAGAAAACGAATAGCTCGATGCACGGGGGTTACGGTCCGCGAAATCAGCGCGAACGAGTTGTGAACGGCGGAGCAGGAGTTCGAAGGACCAACTTTACGCGCGTCGGAAAGCAGTTATCGCCGTCGCGATCTACTATCTAATTTAATCTCTCTCTCCGGTCTCGATAAGATTCACAGGACTCGTCGTAAAAAAAAAACAACAAACGCCGGGCACTCCAAAATAAAATTAATTCTGATTACGTAATTATAGATTTATGATTGCGCATCCTGGATACACGGCGCAATATGCAAACGGCCGTTAACCGGCTAATTTCGTGATTGCGACCCAATGGAATTTTTTCCGACAGAAGGAAGAAACGCGAGGGAAAACGTAAGACTTCGCGTGCCTTTTCGTCCGTTCCACTGAAAACAAAATTCCTCAGATGGTCAAAGATCAAATCGATTGCATGTAATCAATCGATACACGTAATCAATAAGAGATCTTGATAAAATCCGGCCTAGCGATACGATCAGTGTTGATATCAGTGGTTGCGCCTAGCTATAAACGCTACATTTGCTTTTTCAGCTCGCAGTTTCGTTTGCGCTATTTAATCGAACGCAAAGTCGAAGCGTCGCGAGTTTGCCAGAATACCAGGCGTAAATCAACTTACGACGAGCCGTACATAAACAGTACATTACGTTTCTTAGGCCTTGGATGACATAAGAATCCTCTCTGATACTTATTCATATACAGATAATACGAAATATACAATTCCAAGTACGCGTACTAAACGAGTGACGTGTCGACTAAATTTATGAATATATCCCTTTCGGCTTTCGCGTTCCGTTAGACATCCGCCTACCGGTAGAACACACAAGAAAATAATGTCAAAATAATATGACGTTATATATAATTCTTGCATTATTTGTGACTTATAAGTGATAAATAAAATCATAATGACAACCTTATAATATCATATGACTTTATAATGATATCATTACGACTTTTGTGCTCTACCGTCGCGTCGTCGCGGAAAGTCTTGGAATTACATTTTTACAGAATCGCGATGTCCTTTCGCGATAATAACGCCACGCGGCGAATGATAAGACCGAATTCATTTTCTTTATAAAGTTGATAGGTACCGCATTGGACACGTAAACTAAAAGTTGATCGTATTTTCTACGTTACGCAGAAAAATGAAGCTGCTAGCGTTCGGACTCATCCTGATCTGTTGCAATGCTCAGGAAATGAGAATAAACGGTAAGCAGATATCAATACTTTTTCTCCTGGTCCCTTGTATTTCTCCTGTATATTTCTCTAGAGAGATACGCTAAGCTATTATATATTTCTAGAGGAGCAGAGTGTTTTATATTTATTTCATACCTGTCTTTATTACATTGCTTGTTAAGTTATCTGCTTTCAGGCATTCAATTGTCCTTTTTCAAAAATCTTCTTTATTTTTGAAAAAAAGATTTTAGTAGCATATTTTTAAACAATCCATTTATCGTATTATTTAACATGTTATATATCTCAATTCAATTTATTCTTTAATATTATTATTAATTTTCATGACTTTTTAATTTTACGGATTTTTTCTACTTTCTCATCATAGTTTTTTTCTTTTAATTTTTTCTCTTAACGATAATTTCACCAGAAATACAAACCTTGCACTCATTTACGTAAGCCGATGATGCAACGGCTAATTTTATCTGCAAAAACATTTGCATGAAATTTACTTTCGTTTGCAGAGAAATATGGAAATAAGTTGGTGGAAGATTTTCTCATTAAGTTCAAAGAGGTATTGAGAACCGGAAACGATACGCTTGGAATTCCAAAATGTGATCCGTTCAATGCGGACGAGATAAAGATCAATGTACACGAGGACCAAATAAAGTGCGTGCCACGTCAATTTTTTAATTACACCGGTATTCACGATATGAAACAAAACTGCAAAAGACCGAGTAATGCGACGGCTTCGTAAGACTGGTCTTATCTTCGTTGATACTTATATTTAAGACTGTCTTATAAGTATAGTTTTAAAAAATAAACCAATCATAGAGCATCTTGAAGCATTATTGCAAGACAGTCTTGAAGTAAAAACGAATAGCCGGCCAGGACCTATAATTTTTTTTCACCCGAATTCATTTCATTCTGCTGTCATAAGTCGATTGCAAGTCTCCACTTATCTTTTTTTTCAGTAAAATAAAATTGCAAGTGTCGTTTAATCGATATTTTTGACACAAATATTTCTTTTCCAATAGCAACACTTCTAAACCATGTCGCGTCATTTAAAAACAAAAAGAACAAAATGCGTACCTGTATCGAATTAAAGGACTTATGAATTTTCTTTTATGCCGCATATTCGCAGAGTGAACGCGAATTTAACGAAGGTCAACGTAAACGGTTTGTCCGAGTATGACGTTATCAACGGTGATTTCAAGTTGGGAGGAAACCTAGCTTTGATTCTTCCCCTTTCGTGGCCACTGGTAGTCGCGAGTATCAATTACGCCATAAAAGGTAAAGCCGACGTCTTCGAAATTTACGGCAACGGTGAGATCAAGTGAGTATATTCGCTCTTCGCGCGACAATTAAAAATCGGTGCCAATATATAATTTCAGCAAATTAAATCTTAAGATTTTTAAATCGCAGGTTCTTTTTAGGATGCTTTCATCTTGTTTCATCACTACGTGCCTTCTTTCTAATAATTTCACGTCTTTCATTACAACTGAACTTTCCTGCATCTTAATAATCAGATTAACTTTCTATCTTAATTTAAGATAAATTCAAATCGTAAAATGTTAAAACTATAATACTGTGTTCAATTTTTAGTCTGTCCGCACACGACTTCGCTTTTGACGTAGAAATTAATTTCGTATTGGACGGAGAATACTTGAAAGTAAAGGGGATAACATTGAAGCTTTCTTTGAGGAAGCTAGAAGTGAGTAAACGGATTATAAAAGTCAAGACTTTCTTTCTTTCTCACGCGATTTTTGCAATTATGTCATTGCGTACGAAATTTCGATTTCATATTACAGATTTTCAGAAAATTTCTAAGAGAAAGAAGACATATGTAATTGAAAAGATTCAGATGCTATTTAATTCAGTTTTCAGGCAGTTTTCCGAAAATTTATCGAGAACTTACTTCAAATATATTACAAAATTGTTTATATATAAAGTTTTCATAAATTTATTATTTTATTTAAAACAAGAAATTTATATTATATAAATATATAATTAAAATTAAAATATTCCTTTTTCTTAGTATAAACTTTTTAGTTTCCTATTCTTAGAAATTTCGAAAATATTTGGTAGAATATTGAAGCATATCTTTGTAAAAGAATGGCATCTCAATATCGCTTTAATATTTGCTTGAGAAAAAGAACAAAACAGAAACTTTCGATATTAGAAATTTTACATCCAATAATCAGTTGAAATAAATCATTATTCAAGAAACAGTTTTTTACTTTCAAACAATTTTCTCATTATTCAATCAATTTTCAATTAGTTTTTAACTAATCAAGAACTTATTCTATCTTTTACTTCCAGCAGTTTTATTCCCAATTATCAATTCAGTAAATATGCATTTTAAATTACAACTTACCGATATTACTGTCCTTTAGATATATAGGGGAGATTATCCTGAGTAATTCCCCGCAAAACTTAAGGGACGGAATTGATTTAGAACGTATATAACCTTGTTTCACTGTGGAAAGTTGTAAACCTTGCTTCGCGTTGAAAAATGAAAACGAAGAGGCAATAAAAAGGCAAATTAAATACTATCTTTATACAAATCTTACTTTGTGAAATTTTAAATTATTACATCTCCAATGCCGTCCGCCATTTAATTTTTGCGGGAGAATTATACTCGGAACAACCTCCCTACAACAATATCTAAAGGACAAAAAAATCGGTGAGGTGTAACCTAAAATGCATATTTTTCGTTTGAATTTTTATTTACGTAGTTCTTTTTTCCCTTTTCCAATTAGTGACTAATCCTTTCTATTATTTGCAGTTTAAAGCGACGGGCCTCTATAACGACGAGGAATTGTCTACTATACTGAGTGCCTTGATTTCCGACATGGCACCTGATTTAATAGGCGATGAAACAATTATAAGTAAGGTTATTGAACTTGTCACGAATCTGCTCGACAAGTTTTTGTCCGATATAACACTCAGTGAAATACTGAAAATGATTTTTGGTTGATTCTTGCTATCGCTTGATCAATCATTTGTACAGTTCGCGATCCTAGTCGATGAAACGATATGAATAAATAGGGAGACAGGCTATGAAAGATTAGCATAAAACAATCAGTGTTTAATACGAGAGAATAAATGCAATTAATAATTTAAAATTTGCGAGTATTTTATTAAACAAATTAGTAAAAATACGTTCTCTGTCTTTCTTCTATGTATGCTTGTAATGTACATAGAAGAAATATATGAAATTATATTAAAAAGTTTCTATTTGTATCCCAGATAGGACACAAAAGTTATAATGATAACATCATGAAGTCATCTAATATTATAAGGACGTCATTCCGACTCCGTCATTAAGACTCTACTTTGTCACTTATTAGTCACAAGTAATGTTAAAATTGATGTCATTATGACATTATTTGCTTTTATTTTATACCTGGGATACAACTACAAAATTAAATATTAATCCTGATCTGTTCTAGCGTCTCCCATCTATTTTAAAACAACGGATATACGAATAATTCTATTTATCTATAATATTTGTGATATCTTGTATCTTTTTTATCTTAACGTATAACATACATGTATCTACATTACGGTGATTGTGATACACCCTATACACTTTGTATATATTTTTCATATATTTTATGCAACGTTGTTTTTTGTTACTGATTCAAAACGATAATTTTGATTTGAAAATAAAAGTAATTTAATTCTTACCGATGTAAAATGCGGACTTGTAACTTCATCGACCTGCAAAACACAAATGTGAAATTCGTATTATGAGAGAGAAAAATAAATATACAAATTATTTCGAAAAATAATCGAACAATTCTCTTTCTAAATAAATTTTTAATAGAATGTTTGAGAGAGAGAGAGAAAGAGAGAGAGAGAGAATGTCTCCTTTTTAAGTAAAAGTTCTGTAAAATTTTTCAAATAAAAGTTTTTTCTTTGTATTTTCTATATAATAATTTTCTATATATAAATTATCCTAACAAAAAATAAAACAATCAACTATAAAAATAAATTAATTTAGATAGTACACATACAAGTAAGAAATAGTGCATCAAAGTGAGCGGTAGATATAAAAATATAGATATCTAAATATAAAGAAAATACCAAGGTAAATACATATAGAAATACGATCGACAGGCCCATAAAAGATCAAACGCTACCCGCGCTACCGAGATTCTTTGATGTTTTTTTGCACAGTGACTCATATATTAATAATAAATATCTCACCTCACGGTTGTTCCAGTGGTCACCTGATGCCTCCCAGGCCGCCCCTTCCTCGATCGCTGTATTCATTTCCGTAGCTGCTCTCGCATGGCACTTCCTTTAGCGTCACATAACACTCGCAAATTACACGATTAGGTTAATCGCGATCATCGCGTGCGTCGGTGATCGAAACGAACACTATTTGCACGGCATTCGTCAAGCCGGCTTACCTAACGTTTTAAGCGTACGCGGCCGCGTGATTTGTCGAGGAAGATCAGCGCGAGAAAACGAGTGGATCGAACGCACGAGAGATGAGCATTATACGGTCCGCGAAATCAACGCGAGTGGCGGTGGCCGCGGAATCGTGAATGTTGGAGCAGGAGTTCGAAAGACGCGCGGCCAACTTCACGCGCGTCGGTAGAGCAGCTACCGCCGCGCCGGCCGCCGCGGCGATTATGCTGCACCTGTTGCTCCCGGCTGCACTCTTCGTGCACTCCTTCGCGCCTCGGAGACGAATCGGCGGACGGCGGACTGCGCGGTGCACCGACCGCACATATAAATCTCGGGTTATCGCGAAGGCAAACGAAGCTCCGTGACTAAAGGTAGACGAGAATTGAAAATATACGACCGCCGTAAATCTTGCTGACCGTATCTTGCGCGCGACAGACTTCGTTGTCGGATTATAAAATCACGCGAGATCTCGCGTTTCGGCATGTTAATTTCTCGACGAACTGTATATCGGCGCACGAACGCCGAAGCGGCGATCGCCAGGAGTAGTTAAGACGCGATTGAACGTCGGGACTCGGTCCAATTTGACACGATCGTACGTACTCACTTATGATCAAACGAGTCGCCCGGCTCGGAAGTCGCGGATCAATCCGTTTCGTACACGCGACGCGTCTTCGATGACCGACGAGCAGTCGCTCGAGAACGGCACCGCGGCGGCGCCACGCCACGAGTCGCCATGACACCGCGCGAGACTACGCGAGTCAAGTCGGTAACTGTTAACTTGCGATGTTCGAAAATGTAAAATTCGAAATTCGATTCTTACACGCTCGCAATGCACCAATGATAAAAAATTATTGTAATATTGTAGCGTTATTAATAATGACCTTCATTATTTCAGTTTCATCCCTCAATCTGATGACTTGTGTAGATTTCGTGTGCCATTGAATCAAAAATAACCAGCGATCATCTCGAAAGCGATACCAGCGGAGATCCCAAAGGGCGCGATGTGAACTAAATTAAAAAAGAGAGAAAGAGGTGAGATCGTCTTGCTTAGATTTTAAGAGAATCTAAGTAATTAAAATAAATAATTATATCGCTTTATTAAATATAAACGGTAATCCACTTTCGCATATATATTATACATTCGCGCTGTGACACGCCACCTTTAAGCCGAATATAATCCACGCGAGATCTTTATTTTGATATACAGGGGCGTCGTGACTCGTAAACCGTTAATCAGTTAATTAGTTGCGCGGGGTGGTTTGTAGAAAATAATCGCGTCTCGTGTGAGAGGTCGATATACTACCTCCTATACATATATTCCTTTTAAAAAAACTCGCAGCTAAAGAATACAATTTATAAAATCATATTTTTTTTAGTAATAAAATATAATTTTATTAGTTATAGAATTTCCTTTTTGCTAAAAATATAATTTACTATATTGAATTATAATAAATCTATAAATCTATAAATCTATAAATTATATTTTTAGCAAAAAGAAACATAATAATAAAATATAATTTTCTAAATTATAGAATCTTCTTTTGCTAAAAAATATAATTTATAGAATTATATATTTTTTTAGTTGTTGGTTTTTCAGTTTGTGTTAAAAGACTAGCTCGCTATTCGCTGTTGTCCTTGTTGACGACGTTACGTGTCTAACGAACTGCGAGATGAATTCGATCCCCCGGATAGTCGAATCCGCACGCTTAAATTCAGACTGCTGTTGACGGATGGAATCGTATCGTTATATCTCGAGTTCCATCCATGATAGATTCGCCGTGTAGCGCGCACCTGACATGAGACTATACATATACATATATATATAGGGATCGATTCCCCTCCCGATTATAAATTAAGAAAAAACGACAATCCGCGCACGCGACAATTAGAGCCCACCGTTGACAATCGACTACTTGGTCGGTGTTCATGAAAATTGTCTAGCACTTACGCGGAAGAAACTCATCGGAGATATGCGAAACTTGACATCACCCGAATTGCGAGAATTTTTTATACATTTTCCGAGAGAAGCTCCGACAGATAACATATCCTCGCTATCTTTTACAGGAATATCGTCTCTCGGTAATTTTTCACATATTTTTCAAGAGGAACTTTGACGGGTACACACTATATATCTATTACAGGAATATCACCTTCTATAATAAATTTGATAATTTTGACGATTTTTCAAGAATCATCTCGGAAAATTATATCGAATTATTAGGTTTCATATTCCAACTCTCTCAATCTCTCATTTTCCCGATAAATTCGTTGATTTTTCGAGAGCTTAAAAAGAGCTTTAAAAAAATATTCTCACACACACACACACACCACAATATCTCCGTTTTCCTTATCTAATCATATTGAACATGATAATTATTATTATATACTAATTATATTGCTTGACAATTTTTATATGCAATTACATGCGTTTCCTGCGATAGCGAATGATTGGCGGCGATCAATCGTTCTTCCGTTATGAATCTATTTTCTCTGGAAAAGCGGAATGTATAATGAACAATTCAGAATTTGCGTTTCACCGCGGAAATTTATTGCGGCGACCGAATACCGAAATAATTTCTCTACCAATTGTGTGTATCGCGCACGTATAACACTTCCATTCTTAATCTGCAATGCTAATAATCTCTGATTACACCGGCATTCAACGCGGACACCGCATAAAACTGTGTAAAAAAAAAGTTTTCACGTAAATCACGCGGCTGCGATAATTTTTCGCGATAAGTGTATTTGCTATTATAAAATGCCAAAACCAACGAATAAATTAAATTATTGTAATAGAGATTCTTGATACTTTATTTTACTTTAATTTATAATCGTAATTTCACAATTTCAATTTTATAAAAATTAAAAGAGAGAGAAATGAATAATTAACGTGTAAAAAAAATAATGCGAATTAAATTAATTATTTCAGATTTGCACACATTTGCTTATTTTTGTTACAACAATGATGTAACTCAATTAAAAATTATAATTCATAATCATTATATATTTAAGATCGTCTTAAATACAATCTTAAGATATTATAAGCCAATCACAGAACCATATATGTATAACTTAAAATATTATCTTGAAATATTACTATTAAGATGCTCTTGAAATAAAAACCGGCTTTAAATACCGATCTAAATTTTATAGAAAATAAGGTTGAATGAGATTGAAATCATCAAAATTTTGTAATTAATACTTATTATATTTTAATACAATTTTTAAATGTGATAACTAATTGGAAGATTAAATGTATTATAAATTCAAAAGGAATAAATTCAAAATTTCAAAAAGGGAATAAAAAGAATAAAAATGTCAATTTAAAAATAGTAATTTTAGAGTAATATATATCGTAACAAAGCAAAGCGATATTATTTCTCGTTCTCTCTCTCTCTCTCTCTCTCTCTCTCTCTCTAACTCTACATATATATAATGTCTTTTGTAAAATGCATATAAAAATTATTACGTATCTGTTTGACTTGACAATATTAATTAATAAAATTAATTAATTAGTATAGCAGTAAAATAATATCGCAGATAATACAAAATTTAAAATCGGGACATATATATAAGACGTCTTTTTTAAACGTTTCTCACAAATATATCTTTTAAATATTTTTTAAACGTCCCTATGTCCCGATTTTGGATTTTGCGTTATCTGGGATCAATATTATATAATTTTGCGATGTTAAAAAGTTAAAATATGTATATATTAATATAATATATAATAATTATATAATCAAGCACATCGATATTTATACGATCAATTTTTATTTCCGTCAGGTATGCAAGGTCGAAAAATATCAACATATAATATGTTGATATTTAAAAAAAGATATATAAAAGATATATAAAATAAAATAAAATAAATTTTAAATATATAAAGAAATGAGAGACGATAAAAAAAATATCAATTATATTATATATATGTATATATATATACATATATATATATATATATATATATATGTATACATATAAATATCAACATATTATAATATGTTGATATTTAAAAAAATATATACATATATAAAAAGATAAAATAAAATAATAAAAAAAAATTTAATATATTATATAATCGATATTTTTTTTATCGTTTTTTATTAATTAATTCTTTATATTATATTTTATACATCGTAAAGGGGTGACGAAATTTGTATTACCGACGGCGACGCGACACTTTCTGCTTCACCGGCAGATCGCGAGGTATTGGGCGGCGGACGGGCGGGCGGGCATTAGTCAACGGCATACACACGACATACATACGCACGGATGACAAATCCATGAGTCCACCGCGGTTTTGCGCGATCTGTCCGGGGGTTATCGTTATTCGTTATCGCCACGTATCCGCGCATCGACCCTTCGTACCTCCGGGCGTGTAGTAATCATGATCCTGCTCGAGATACACAACAGGATACTCGAGGAAACGTTGACGAACAAGATCAAGAATGCCCAGTCGGGGTAAGCGTCTTCTCGGCGCGGCGCGCGCGATCCTCGGCGATCCGCCCGGGCCCCGGCGAGAGGTCCCATCCCGGTGCGCCCGTCCCGATCGCGCCGCGTCAACCTAACCTCACTCAGGTGGGACGTGGCGGCCGGGGCGGTGCCGCGTCCGTTTCCCCGCGGGAAACTCCTATCACGAACGGACTCGTCGAATCTGGATCTTCTTCCAATCGCCCTTCTTTCCCTCCTCTCGCGGCTACACGCTTCTTCCCATTTCGCCCGACCTCTCCATCTCAAGATCTCGCCCACGGGATTCAAGATTTCACTTCAGGCGTTTCTCTCTTTCTCGGCTCCTATTAGCTCTCGTTCCATCCGAACCTGCCGTAACTTGTGAAACCTCGTCTTTCCAAATGATTTATTGAAAGGAGATTAGGTATTCTCAATTTGATTTCTCTCCGCCTTCCATCTTCGTACTTTGCTTCGCATCATTTTATTTTTTTTAAATTAAGATCTTGCCTCTAGATTTTTAGTCTCAGTATCTTTCTTCCACTCGGTCATATTTGTGAAATCGTCGTTTTTTTCAAATAATTTCCCAAAAATAGAATTCTATTCCTTTAATTTTTCACTTTTCCTTCCATCATGTTTCTCTGCACTTTGCTTTATTATTTTACTTTTTTATTTCAAGTTCTTGTCTCTGGAATTCACGTTTCTATATCTCTCTCAGCTTTTACTTCCTCGGCTCCAGATATGTTATAAAAGCTTGCCGATTCGATAGTCTTGCGATTAACAATGTACATTTTGTTTTTGTAGACATAAGCAGGAGTCGACGGACGTAGTCATAGCCGACTTCGATGGGGTATTGTTTCACATTTCGAACCTCAGCGGAGACAAGTCGAAGCTTAGAGTAAGTAAGACACCCCTTGTAAATGTCTTTTGCAGTCTTTCTAAACGCTCATCAATTATCTAATATTTACCTTGTCTTCTTTTTTTTTGCAGATTAGTATCTTGCTCAAATTTTATAAACAGTTGCAAGAGCATGGCGCAGACGAGTTGCTCAAACGAGAGTACGGGTCTCATCTCATCGCACAGGAGAGCGGTTAGATTTCCGTTTTAATTCTATTTTCCACGCCTGTAAACGAGGGAGTAATCAATTGCTCCAAATCTGTTTGCCGCTGTTGCAGGTTACAACGTATCGGTTCTCATAGATCTAGAGAAATTGCCGGAGGATTGGGAGGCGTTGGTGAGGAAGGTCGCCCTGCTGAAGAGGCATTGCTTCGCCAGTGTTTTCGAGAAGTACTTCGACTTCCAGGAGGAGTACTGCGACTCCCCGGGCAGGCCGGTACAAAAGAGAGCCGTAATCCAGTATCGGGACGAGGAAACGATGTAAGAAGTATATATATTATCTCTGTGGGTGTGACGTGGCCCGATTGTTATTTTTATTATTATTAACTCCCGTTAATTCTCTTATATCAAGGTACGTGGAGGCCAAGAGCGACAGGGTCACGGTAGTGTTCAGCACAATATTCAAGGACGAGGACGACATGGTCATCGGCAAGCTGTTTCTTCAGGAGCTAAAGGAGGGCAGGCGCGCGAGCCACACCGCCCCGCAGGTCCTGTTCAATCATCGTGAGCCGCCGTTGGAGTTGCAGGATTCCGAAGCGGCGGTCGGCGATTGCATCGGTTACATCACATTCGGTGAGGAAAGCCTGAAGTTTACTTTGCACTTGTCAAATCGCGAATTTCCTCTTGTTTGTACTTGTTTTCTTACCAAGAAAAGTGAAAGAGAAAATTTTTCGTTGTAGAAGCACAGAGCATTTAGATTTAAAAAATTTCAAGTTTTAAATATCTACTAATTGATATTTTTATATGCAACTTTATTAGTGAATTCTTAAGTTTCGAGGATCTATTTTGGAGAAATGTAATTAGTTTTAATACGTTTTTGTCTACTGTCCAAGTATTTCAAGCTGAACATGATGTAATTTTACTTTTAAGCACTTATATCACTATTACTTATATCACTTTTACTTTTTGTATTTTTACAGTACTGTTTCCACGTCACACCAATCGGGAGGCTCGCGACAACACCATCGACCTGATACACATGTTTAGGAATTATCTGCACTACCATATCAAGTGCAGTAAAGTTTACATTCACTCGAGAATGCGCACCAAGACTACGGACTTCCTCAAGGTGTTGAACAGAGCGAGGTCTCAATCCAAAAATACCGAGAAGAAGACTATCACGTAAGTTTTTATTTTCTCAAAGTGCGGTCTTGATTCATTCACGTATACAATAAATAACAATAATTTAAAATGCGTTTCACTGTGTAATTGTACGATTATTTGTTTTAATTACTTAATCATATTATATATGATTTAAAATTTCTTTAAATTAATAATCTGTGTTTCAAAACGTTCAAATAAATTGTTAAATTTTGAGATAAAATAATTGAAATACCTAAGGGCTATTTTAATATTTTTGCAGTTGCCTCTTATTGACCTTCTTTTTAGATCTCTTAAATCAATTTCAAAATTTACGCTTACGATTAAATACAATATTCATCTATAATCGCATGGTTTATTTATAAATTTGCCATTCTTTTCAGGGGACGAACATTCATAAGGAAAGAATGAACGTGCCGTAGGAAGCGAAAGTATTAACGCATTTTTCAAGAGAAGAGAGCGAAGGATTATTGCGCGACTGGTGCGGGAACGTCCTGCGAGCGAGATTCCCTGGCGAAGGCATTCCTCAATTCCGTGCGCCATCGACGAATTAAGTGCTTCGGACCTTTGAGTTTTCAATCCTGTTCCTCGAGCAGTGCCCTGTATTTCGGCAAGACAGTTAGTTAAGAAAGATAGTTAATAAAAAGCCGCGTTAAACGAATAATGGAGAAGGATGAAAGGGAGAAACGAATCGGATCAACGCGATCGCGCGTCTCGATTATCCAGAAAAAAAAAAGGGAATATTTGGAGACGCCGGAGTTGCATCTGCAATCTTGTGGTTGACAGTTACTGCTCTACCGCGAAGAGAATCGCTCGTTGCGAAAACGTTTTACCGATTTTTACAGTGATGTAAAGGTTCGGGTACGGTGTCGCTTTCAAGAAATTTGAATTCGGAAATTTGCATATTTTACACTGGTTGTTACTTCAAACAGTTTATTATACGTTACAACGTTTTTCTGAACTTACGTCTGGCGCTTCGGGCGAGTACATCGAATACAGATTTAGCGTTACGGTGATGATATCCCTATCAGATGAAATGTCACACGAAATGTCCTTTAAAAGAACGTTAAAGTATGTTCGAACTCTCAATCTCTCGAGCCTGTGATTGTATGCTATTGTATACCCTTGTCGCGGAATTTTCGAGCCAACGTTATCTGAATCGCCAGAGGTAACCGAAATAGAGAAACAAAGAATTCAATGACGGGAAAGGTAATGATGGACGATTTTACTTTTCGCATTGCATTTTTCGCCTCGACAGTCGCGGATTGTCGAGCGGACGGGTACTGTTAAATAAGCGCAATTGTTCCCTTTTTCGATATCTTTTATCGTCTACTTAACGACTTATACACACATCCGATTATTGTGAGAGAGATACAAATAAAACAGAACATTAACAATCCACAGTGTTTGGACTCCCGCATACCTGTAAGTTATTGATCTGTAATCAGTAAGCGGCGTAAAATAGGGAGTGTCGGAACAGGTCGTTCAATTAAGGCAAACCACACCCAGCCCCTGTCCGACACGCGGCTGTGTATTTTTTCCCGCAGTGTCAGGAGGTGTCTCGCCGAGGGTTGGATGCGCGTCCATCAGGCAGTAGCAGCCGACGACGGGACGGCGCTCGTACGCGCGCAGCTAATTAATTAAAATCGGCGATTACGGGCTCGGAGGTCCTACCCTCGTTCTAGCCGACGTTTGGAACAGGAGGAGCGTATCAGATCCGGAGCTACATCTGGAGTTCTCGCTTGGAATACCTTCGGGAGAGCCGCGCTCTTTGAACGTCGATCTAGAGCGCGATGGAGGAGACGGCGCTGTCGGCGTTCACGCCCTCCGGCACGCTGAACGAGGCCGCGACGAAGGTCCTCGACACGGAGGAGCAGACGTGGCTGGAGAAGACGCTGCTGGGCTTTCGCATCTGGCAGCTCGCCGGCATCGTTCTCTCCGTACTGCTGAGCATCGTCGTCGGGCTGTGCTGCTGCATCCGATTCCGCGTGCCGAGGACGAAGCAGGAGATCGAGGCGGACTACATACGCAAGAGGATCACCAGGAGCTTCCGGAACGAGCTCTCGAAGATCAGCAACACGGAGATGGACGAGATGGATCTGCAGAAAGGTAACGACGCGACCACCGCTTCGGAGATCGACAGCTGCGAAGGCTCGGCTGTGATTTGTAGTTAATCGAGAGGAAAGGAAAGAAGGCGTGCAGACACAGAATAAGTATCTTAAATTCCTCGTTAAATAATAATAAAAAAAAAAGAGCAAAAAAGACAGGAAAACTGTTACTTCTGAACGGGCGAAAGAGTTTATCTGATTATTTGATCCATGTTCTAAACAGGAGGGTTTATTTGACGAAGCTTTTGCATTGTGAGACACGTCTCTGTACTTCGCGATTTGGGCTCTCGATATGTCGTACCCTTTCTTTTTCATCTTGATGTAACTTCTGAAAAGGACGTTTTAGAATACTGGAAGCGCCTAACTCGCTCTTCGCATCGCAGCTCTGGACAGGATCCGAAGCGAGTACGAGGGGGACACGTCCGCGATAGCGAAGGAGTGCGCGGAAATGGCGAAGCTGAGCGCCCGGCAGGGCTTTCGAACCAGATTTAACGCCGTGTTCGATGGGATGCGTGTGCGTTTCAGTCAACGCGAGCACGCCACGATCTAACGACGGCGGTTCGCCCTCCGATGTTCTGCGTGAGAAGGTCCCGAAACGGACCCCTCGAAAGTATAGCCCGTAATTTTCTCGCCGTATAACTTTCAGAGATGAGGTCGAATGAAACGGAATAAGACAAGAAATATATATAATTAAAATTTTTCTTATGCTAATTAATTATTTAAAAAAAGAAAGCTGCTGTAAGAAAAATATAAATATATATTATACATATATATTTATATGTATATTTCTTTTCGCGTGCTATTAAAAGTTAATATTAATCGAACTTCTCTTTCTTAAATAGTTAGTTTAAAAGAATTTAAATACGGAAAGTTAAGAAGAGATGAAGTCAATGTCAATTTACATGGAGAAATATTAACGGCGAACAATAAATTGCATTGACACTTTCATTGACTAAATATAATCTTTATTTCATAGATATACTTTACACAAAAATTTATTTACTTTAGCATGCAACAGTGATCTATTAGCAACGAATAGTAATTCTGAGAGTAACACTCCACAGTGTGTTACAGCGTATTCTTTTTTTTCTCTTTCTATCCTATCGATATCGCTATCGATTAAAATTCTTTATATCGATTAATCATTTGTACTCTCTCGTTAACCGCGCTTATCTTATTACCGTACATCGATCGTGATCTTACTCATTTATTTAATAGAAGTCGTTAAATTGAATCTAATGATTAATGACAATACGGGAGACGCGAAAAAACTGTTATTCGTATAAAATATATTGTAGAGAATAACAAAGAGTCAAATGTAAAAAGGATTTCTTTACCCAGCAAACGGAAATTAAAAGAAGAAATGAATTTTTCTTTCAATCTATTTTAATCCATTTCCGTTTACTCTGGGTAAATCGCAATGCTTTAAGGAAATAGTTAAGTAAGATATCACACTTTTGCGACTGCTTGCTATATTCTTGGCTTCTGCCGAGTAACGTAAATCGGCGAGTGTGCGACGTAACTCGAGAAATAATCACAATCCGATTATTTCAACGACATAATCTTTAAAATCGAAACAAGGAATGAGAAAAGGAATCAATTGTTTCGCGCTTGGTGAGCCTTTAAATAAATAAAAGAAACAAAATGGAAACTCAAAAATAAAGAAGACAACGGAAGATACATGTTTACGAAAAATAATTTTTATTAAAAATCGGAAAGCATACAGGAGGCGAAATTGCTGCTCGGCGAACGATAACTTTGATCCTATCGTCGCAGCAACAGTGACGTACCACTCTGTCGTACGATTCCGTAAAAAAAAAAAAGGAAAAGAAAAAAAAATAAGGAACCAAGATCGACGATTAAGAGAAACTACAGCAGCGAGAGAAACGAATACATCGGATTGTCAGCCGATCTAGCACGTAACAGTCGGGGGGGCGGGACGACTTGTTAGCCACGAAAAGTCGTCCTGTTAAAATTATACAAAACTACTTGCGAGACAATAAATATCTCTGTGCGCTGAGAGCCTCGCCGTCTCTTCCCAGCAAACGCAGATTACAGAGCTGCAATGTTGCAGCAATATTATAACATTCCAGCTATATTACAGAAATGTTACAGTAACGTAACAGTTATAATCTGTGTTTGCTGGGTTCTCGTTTCGCGAAGTAGGATGGTAGGTTTCGCTTAAACGCTGCTTTATTAATAACGCTCGAACGAAAGGGCGAGAAACGAAAAGAAGGGGCGCCGCGGCAAGAGGAAACGCATTGAGGGGGGGGGGAGGTAAGCGCGGTTGATGTGTCGGTTTCCACAAAACCGCGCGACGTTTCGTCGCCTATACGGACATAATTAATTACTCTGCGAGATCACGCATCGCGATGCACGGTTTCTCTGTCACGGGCTAAAACAGACGGCTCGTTTACAACCTCGTTTTCCTGAACCACGGAAAAACCACCACGAGGACGATCGACGACGTAGGATCGATCTCGCCCTCCTCTACTCGCGTGACTCCCCACGCGACGTTGACGATGGCGCGTACAATGTAACAAAATAGACGACAAATGTCTTTTTCTTTCTTTTTTTTCTTTCTTTCATCTTCTTCCAGCGTGTCTCGACCGCTCTCGACGGGGGGGAGGGGAATTCGGAGAGGTCGGTCGTCGAGACACCCAACTATTTCCTCTTCTCTCCGTATTGTATTTTAATCTTACGCAACGTAAAGATATATTTCTCGATATATTTCTTTTTTCTTCTTTTTATGTATAATATATATTCTCGGTAATATTTCCGGCGATTATGCGATACCGCACGTTAAACGGCTTGCGCGCCTATATGAATTCGAGGAAATTCGCCAAAGGAAACTCAACATTTAATTGGGAGGGGGGGTGGGGGATATAATATTACGTGTCCGATCGTTTAGACGCTTAATAATTTTACAATGTCACCCCCTTTTTGAATCCTTACATTCTAGAATCTTCCGGGGGACGCGCGCGACACCCCGTACTCGGGTCTCGCGTTCCCCCCCCGCGCGAAATAGCCTGGGTGATCCTTATGCTCTAACAACGGTTGAAGTGTCGCCTTAAATTTTAAGAATCTCTGAATCCTTACGTTTCTAGGATCTTTGCGTAAAACTTAGATTCTAAGGTCTTTGGATCATTTAGGTGTTAGATTCTAGGAACTGTGGATCCTTAGGTTCTACGGTCTTTCTTAGATTCTTGAGTTACAGAGAAGAGTTTTTTGCGTCTCGCTTTATAGATACTCTAGGATCTTGGAGTGACTTCTATACATTCGACGCGAGAGGTGAGAGAACGAAAGAAACGAACAAGTGGATGGCAAAAAAAAAACGAAAAACTTGTATCGTCAAGCACGACCGCTCTCACTCAAATCAGTCTGAAATGGCACAGAATTTGGATATTCCGGAATGTTCGGACATCTCGCTAGAGATATCTCCTGAAGCGTCGCGAAGACACTACTCGGGGCAACTCGAATACGACGTTTCTCCCCGGGTGGATTTTCGAAAAAAAAAAGAAAAAAAAATACAAAAGCGCGTCGTACGAGGGAGGAACTTTGATCGACTAGAGGATCCGACGACGCGTGAAGAACGTGTCGTGTGCACATGTAACAAACACCGTATTATTATTTCTTTCTTCGGCGAGTTGAAAGAACTAGGAGATAGTTGTGTCGTTACAAAAATTACAGAGTTTCCCGTCGGAGAAGTCAGTCTGGTTCCTCGGATCTTGTAGATTCTGCTTAAACGTGGATCTGTGGTTGAGACCCCGTGGGGTCTCGAACACGGTCGCGCATCTTCGCGTTAAAGTCAAAATTGTCAGAAAAAAAAAAAAGTTCGAGAACGTCCCACGGAACCAACTCTCGTGACTACGCGCGGGGAAACTCGTCAGAGGGCTATCGCGAAAACTGTCACGCATTGCCAATGCGTGCCAGTCGTCTGTACATTAAGGGTATGCATCTTTCCGACAATCGGGAACTGCGTAACTGCGTAAAGTTACAGCTATAGTTTAACGCAACGATTGAAATGCGCGAGCTGTCAATACGGGTGACTTTGCGAGATAACGATGCTTTCGGGATTCCTCTAATTGATGAAGACTGGCCGGAAGTGAGATACATAGAAATAGAAAGAGAGAGAAATCAGGGTGGGTACTCAATCTTTGTAAAAGAATTCCCTGAAAATTCCCGGATTCTCCAGGAATTTTATTCAAAATTCCAGATAAGATCAGAGAATTTCTTAATACAGCTTTAAAATAAATTAAGCACTAAGAGTTCTAATAACGTGTAGAACTTGGTGCGTGAAACAATTTAATCTTCTCATATGTACAACAGTTACATCTCCATACAAAATTTTTCGAACGTAACGAAAGATTTTGTATGGAGATGTAACTACATA